GATTGTCTAACCACTTTAATAGAACACAACTACATATAAAAGCAAATCACTTATTACGAATGAATATTTTATATTTGTCAAATCTGAATTGATGGGCTTTTGGTAACAATTTTTAAAGCCAGGGACCTTATTGTATATTTGAAGTTAATTTACTACATGCAAAATATAATGTGTAGTAGTAGAGATATAGATTGGAGGAGTAGAATGTGAGTCACATCTTCATTTTAAAGAGGACAATAGGAATTCATACAGTAAACATTTCACAGCTAAATAATAGCAGCAAACATGTTTTTCAAACACCAAATTAATGGAATGGAGGAAAAGGAGGCGCAGTAGCTATGCTTTAGTAGATGGTTTTATGTAGTTATGTAGAGAAGACAGTAGAAGAATTCCAGCCAAGGAGAAAAGCACAAGAATTTGGAATAAAATTGATCACACCACACTGATCAAGACATCCTAGCTCAAATACAGAGCTCATGTTTGCTAAGTGCTGGGTGTCAGGGTTAGACTTTCAGTATGGAAACAAACTCTGGAGAGCTGTGAAACCAGTCACAGTGGACAGGACTTTATTGTGGACATGGTTGAGAGTCAGTGAAGATATCTAAGAAAGGAAGTCAAATGATGACTAAGCACGGTGGGACAAAAGTAGCTTTACAGTTTTTTGTATTGAAAATAACACAGTAATTAATAAATAACAGTATAAGAATAAACTTTTTCCTGTACTCACAACTGTAAATCTACTTTTGCCCCATCCCATATACAAAGTTTAATATAATAGACATGTACAATGTGGATTTAAGTAGGGGAGATAGGAAAATCACTTAGAAGTCTATTGTAATAATTTCAGGGTTCCATGATAAAAGCTAGGAATGGAGTTGTGTCAGGAAGGGAGAGATATTGGAGATGTTTCCAAATTGAGAAAACAAATATAACTGGGAGATTCACTGAATATTTGGGATATCCATCAGAAAAAGAGAGATCAAAATGATTTCAAGGATTTCTTAGAGATTGTAAATTATATTTCATTAACATAAACAAGTTTTAGGCATTGAATCTTTCAGAAATGTATACAGGAAAAAGACTAGTTTCAGGCATTTTTAATTCACTGGGAAATGATAAGTCTTAGTTATTCTTAAATACACACTATTAGATAGCAAAGACCATTTTATTTCCCTTGGGTCCCTCATATGTTCTCAGATTCACATTTGATATTTGCGCTTTTATTTGCCTTTGAGTATTTACAGACTTCAACCTCATACAGTACCTTTGCCAAATACTCTGCATCAAAATGAGCTGTCACCTCTGCCTAACACTTCTTTCTTACTACTACTCTCTTCCCTACTATGGATAGTCATTGGATATTTTATGTGGTACTTAATAACATGAGAAATCATTTTGCTGTAAGTTAGAAGATGCTATGTAGTCATGAATTTCAATAGTTTCTCAGTGTTAACTTTGTTAGATGGAGTTTTACCTGTATTTTTCTTAGCTTGGAAGATACAGGACTAGGATTGTCCCAAACTAACTTCCATGTGATCTTTGGAGCTTCTTGCTTATAATCCCCATCACTAATTAACATGATATGAGAACTCAGGCACCGGAACCACATCCTCTGTTATCTACATACATATTATTTTATATTTATATTTTCTCCTAACATATTTCCTCTTTTTCATTGTTACTCCAAACACTAATGGTGATAACTCAGAAGAAATGGAGTCCAAAGAAAAAGCAGAAGAGAGAATAAGTAATGTAAATAACTACTTAGCAATTACATTTTGTTTGATGGTGAATTTGCTGTCCTGCATTGTCAACAGAACACTCATCTCATTCTATTTTTCTGCTGACATTTATGAACCTGAAAAACATAATCTGTCGCTTAGCCATAGAAGATAATTCAAAATCTTAAAGGAGATAATGATTCTTAAGAGCACTAATAAGATGTGAATCCCTTAGGAATATCTCTTACTGTTACCAACTTATAAAGCAGCTGGTAATTATTGAGTCCTACTCTGTGTGAGTAACTGTGAGGTATAACACAAAAGCAAGTTTCATCAATTCACTCAAACATTATTTTCCTTTAAAAAAATTAATTAAATGTATTGGGGTGACATTTGGTTATTGAGATTATGTAGGTTTCAAGTTTACATTTCTATGATACATGATCTGTATATTGCATCGTGTGCCACCACCCAAAGTCAAGTCATCTTCTATCACCATATATTTGGACTCCTTTATTACCCTTTACTACCCTCCCACCCATTCCCTTCTGGTAACCACCATACTGTTGTCTCTGTCTATAACAAACATTTTTGAGTACATATTTGGCAAGTTTTGTCCTTGTGCTTACATGTTATGATTTAGAGAAACCAAAAGCAAGCAATGAAAAATAATATATAATCAAGTTCTAAACAGTTACATTGGAATAATATAGTGTAAATAGAAGAGCACTTATAATTCCCAGGGTATGGACTAAAAATTGTGATGAGGAAAATCCAATGCACAGATTATCAAAAGCTATTTCAAAAAGTTCTAATAATCTAAAATTTACTTTAGGATACAGCAATTAGAGTAAACTGTCCTATTAAAATATAAACAGTTTTTAGTGGTACCTTAAATAATTAAATAATTATTTCCTTTGGGAAATAAATTTTAAATTCTGTTTGCTTTTATTTATTCTAGATGGGAATCCCAGAAGTAATAACTGTTATATCTGATAGTGATTTTGGAAATCATGTAAGTCAAACGTTATTTTCAAATGACAAAACGAGTGCCCTGGCTGGTGTGGCTCAGTGTATTGAGCACCAGCCTGCAAACTGTAGAGTCACTGGTTCAATTCCCAGTCTAGGGCATATGCCTGGGTTATGGGCCAGGTCCCCAGCTGGGGGCATGTGGGAGGCAAGCAATCAAATAGGGAACTATAGTGCTTAAATAAATGGAATTAAGCTATGTAAAATTCCCCTCCTCAAATTAGACATAAAATATGCAATTTTCTGAAACAAAAAACAAGGACCTTAGTTAAAAAGTAATTATTTCATATAGCTACACTAGTTGAAAAGAAGAGTATATAAATTTCATGTGATATTTAGGACAGAGAACTGGAATTTAGCATAGAGAATCCTAAGAATTCACCAATTGTGGTGAGGGTCAGGTTCAGGGTAATAATCAAGCAAGCAGTTAAGATTGTGAATAAAACTGAAGTAACTTAACCCATTTGGAAAGGGGAACAAAGTCCATCATGGGAAATAAAAGTCCTCAGTGACAAGCAACTCTAAAATCTCCAAGATGCAAAACAGTTACAAATTGGTAGCAAGAACAAAGACATTTCAACCCTCAGACATTCTCACTTCAGAATAAGGCCAAGAAATCAATCTTTATCGGGATCTATTTCCCTTTCCTGTTTACACATACAATGGAGGGATATAACTGCAGTATGAGACTACATTACACTGGATGTGGAAGAAGGAAGCTGGTCACATGTCTTTGTGGGGAAATCAGCCAAAACAGAGAGCTGAAATGGAAAATCCACAGGCAATGACTCAGTGAACAGAGCAACAGTTCATTCCAGGCTAGTTCCAATTTTAGAATATTTGCTGCTGGTCGGAGTGAGTACTTTTTTTCCTCCCAATTCATGTTGGCATTAGTTAGTTATTGCTAAACTTAGCACTTAGTGTCTCTAAGGAAATGCAACATTTTCCCCCTTAAATCACAGTTATGTTCCTGCACTTAGAGCTAATTATTGTTAATTATCAATAATATCTTACACAATAAGATATCAACAATTATATAATATCAACAATAATATCTTATACAATAAGATCATCAACAATTCTTATACAATAAGAATTGTATAAGATGACATGATATATTAAAGGAAAGAGATATGATATATTTATTATTTTTGCCTCACATTTTAAAATTTCATTAAGTAAAACTTATTTCTCTCCTCTGTTATTTGAGGGCTCAGTTTCTCACTTGGAAATGCCATTGTTTTTTATGTACTTAGAAAGAAATAGGACTTGGGAGCATTGTTAGAATAAGTGTTTGCAAAAAAATAAGTGTTTACAAAAAAGTTTGCAATTGCATCTTTATAAATTTGGCTACCTTGAAAATAGAGATACTTAGGCTAGTTGTGCTACTTTACTAGATAAGAGAGGGCTTACAGAAATGAGTGAAGGACATATTCATTTCAAGAAAAGAGTTTCATTCTGATATTAAATCAGACTTTGTATTTATCAATCTTGCCTATTAATCTCATATTTTATAGCATATTCTAGCCATTTTAGCATTAAGTCTTTAGAAGAGGCTTTAAAATTTTGACAGATTTGTATTTAATTTTGATAACAGACATTGGATAGATAGTCCCCTTTTCACTGCCAAATCTACATACCAAATATACTAAATATTGTAAAAACTCACCTCAGAGACCTTGTTTGCAAATTGATTGTGGTTGTCCTTCACCTTAGATTCTTTCGGAGAAGAAAAAAATTCCTCAAAGATGAAATGTTACCTGGCTTTGCAGAAATTATTGAAGATTCTTCCTCAAAACATATAATGTAAAATTTAAACAAGAAAAGAGATTAAGCTTGGTCTATAGCCAAATGTTTGGACTTCTCCTAAGCGTCTTTGGTCAAGAACATCTGGGTAAACACACATGGCAATTCTGAAATATGTCCAGAATTTTTCAGTTACAATTAGCAACATGAAAGCTTCAAGTAGATGTTATTGCAACATTGGTCATCTAGTACCATCTGACTTTCAGAAGTAAGAAGTGAAAAGTTCTCCAAATTTAGGCCTTGCCCATGAATTGCCAATATAAGGTCAAATTAGATGCTGTTGATTATTTTGCACATAAGACATAATCTTAGTAGTTAGTGCTTTTAATTATTTCTACTCCAAATGTCCTTTGAAGTATTTTTAAAGTAGCTGTGTTTAATCCATGCCATTGAAGTTGCTAATTTATTTTTTATTTGATTTTCCTTTGTACCATCAATGGATTATTCAATTCGGTAAGCATTTAGATCAGTTTTGAAGCTATATTGTATATATTTAAATCATTCCTTGATTTATTTTTAAATCTACTATATATTGCAACAATTTACTTGGAAAACTTATTACTTTATAATTAAAAAAATGAAACAACATATATTACAAACAGATGATAAGGACATATATCCATGAATTTTCACAAAGTAAATACACCCATGTAACCACTAACCAGAACAAGAAAGACAATGCTACCAGAACCTGAAAGCTCCTTCATGTCCTCTTCCAGTTGCTACTGTCCTGAACCAAAAGTAAGTATTATCTTTACTTCTAAAACTATAGATTAGGGTTTTTGTTTGTTTGATTTTCATTATTTTTTATTACTATTGAGATAAAATTGACATAACATAAAATTTACTATTTTAACCATTTTAAAGTGGACAATTCAATGGTTTCTAGTATATCCACAATGTTGTGGAACCATCATGACTAATTCCAGACAATTTTCATTATCTTAAACAGAAACCCATACACATTGATGAGCCATCCCCCATTCCTTTTATTCCCTGGAAACCAGCAATTTACTTTTCATATCTATGGGTTTGTCTATTCATGTTTCATATAAATGAAATTATACAATATGAGACATTTTGTGTCTGGCTTTTTTACTTAATAACATGTTTTCAGTGTTCATCTATACTGTAGCATGTATCAGTACTTCATTTGTTTTATGGCTGAATAATTTCCATTGAATGGATATATCACATTTGTTTATTCATTCATCAGATGATGTACATCTGGGTTGTTTCCACTTCTTGGTTATTATGAATTATGTTGCTATGAACATTTGTGTACAAGTTTTTATGTGCATATATTAAAACCATAGATTAGTTTCCCTTGTTTTTAAGCTTTATAGTATGTATTCTTTTGTGTTTGACTTATTTTACTCAATATTTTGTTTGTAAGCTCCAGCCATGCTTTTTCACATAATTATTTTTTATATTGTTTATGGGCATATGTTGTTTCAGTTTTGACAAGTATTAATATTCTGCTATCAACATTCAAATATACTTTTTTGTGAGAACATGTATTTATTTCTGAGGTTTGTATACCTAGGAGTGGAATTTGGTATATCTAGTTTTAGAAACTATTGTCATACAATTTTTCAAGATTATTATACTAATTTATCCTTCCACCAGCAGTTATGAAAAACCTATTTATTCAAAATCCTTGCCAACACATACAATGTTAAGCTTTTTCAAAAATTAAATTTATTGGAGTGACATTGGTTAATAAAATTATTTAGTTTTCAAGTGTACAATTATATAGTACATTATCTGTATATTGCATTGTGTGCCTACCAGCCAAAGTCAGATCTTCTTCCATCGCTGTATATTTGACCTCCTTTACTCTTTATTGGTGTTTACTGGAATCTCATTGTAGTTTTAATTTATATTTCTCAACTAAACTGAGGAATTGTTGCATAGAGATTTATAAAAGAAAACTTGAACCTTGTGAATAATTTAAATGTAACAATTTATTTGAAAGCTGCTTTATAGTAAATTTTCTAGAAGTTTCTATGAGCAAAATATAGTAGAAGACTAAAGAAATACATATTAATATGATTACATGTATTATAATATATAAAGAAATACATATTATATGCTTATATGCTTAGTCACTAATAAAATCACATTAATTTACATATTGACATTTTAACTGTACCTCTGCGTATTGCTGTTGTTCTCTATTAGTGAATATTGGTAGAGGGTTTAAAAAGACTTAATTGCAAATTTGTTGGAGAAATGTGGAGATAAAATTGAATGTGGCTTGTGGTTTTGTTTCCTTTGTAAGATTAGGAGAAAAACAGCAATTTTATTCTTTTTTTTAGTTTGATGTATTTTAATAGCAAACTTACAGGAACAGCACAGAAGACAGACAACATTAAAAACATACTTGCATGTAGGACAACTCAGTTAGAAAAATATAGTGAATAGATGGAATCTACTATATGTTAAAAATGCTACAAACACCATTTATGTGCCATCAATAAGAAATTTACTTGTTTTTTAAAAAATCCAAATGCTGGAATTGTCCAGAAAATTGTAACAGGTTTATTTATATTGTTATAAAGTTGAACTGCTTGAAACTTGTTCACTGAAGCACCTTGACTTGCATTAATGCTTTATGTCCCCAATTTATATTTTAAAAACTCACTCACAAATGAAAATGGAAAAACTGCTAATACCTGACTTCTGTCCCCTATTTGCCACTTGGAGTCATATACTTAGGTACCTTTTTACCCCATGGAAAAAATATATCTAATGTTCAGAACTACCAATAACAGGAATAAGAGAATTTTTCTTTTAAAGAATGAAATATTTCCCATTGTAGTGGATTTTTAAGCACATTCTCCACATATGCGGTGTGCTAGCTGGATGTCTTCTGGTGTAATCATTACATGTTTGGCATGGATAGCACACAGGTTGGTGTCTCCAAAAAAGTCAACTAGACAGGCTTCATATGCCTCCTGCAAAGCACCGAAAGCTGCACTCTGGAAGCGCAGATCTGTTTTGGAGTCCTGAGCAATTTCTCGCACCAGATGCTGGAAGGGAAGTTTGCAATGAACTTCTGATAATGTCTAAATTCATGAAGTGCCACAGTACCAGCCCTGTACTGATGAGGTTTCCTCACCCCTTGAGTAGAGGGTGCACTCTTATGAGCAGCTTTGGTAGCCAGTTGCTTCCTCAGTGCTTTACCATCAGTTATTTCAGGGCAGTCTGCATTGTACCACCTATGGTATACAGACCTCTTTACTTACCCTCCTTCTCTTTTGGCTGGAGCTCGGCAAGCTGGAGGAAGTGCTGGTGTTACAGGAAAAATAGCAATTTTACATGGAATGGATAAAATGTCATTCACATGAGGCACACATGTGTCTATGTGATATATTTCCACGTTAGTATACAACACATAGTTTGCATGAAAATATCTCTCTCCTTCTCCATGCCATCCATGGATGAAAACCTTAAAAATACAGCAGGAGCCTTGGCTGGTGGGGACCAGTGGATTGAGTTCTGGCCTGTGAACCAAAGGGTTGCAGGTTCGATTCCCAGTCAGGGCGCATGCCTGGGTTTCAGGCCAGGTTCCCAGTAGGGGGCATGCAAGAGGCAACTAATTGATCTTTCTCTCCCTCTCTTTCTCCATTCCTTTCCCTCTCGTAAATAAAGTATTTTAAAAGTCTTTTCAAACTAGGGTTGCCAGTTTGATTCCCAGTCAGGGCACATGCTGGGGTTGTGGGTCCCCAGTGGGAGGAATGCAAGAGGTGGCCACACACTGATGTTCCTCTCCCTTTAAAAAAATAGTTTTAAAAATACAGCAAGGTAGATACCCAATATACTCAGAAACTGTAAGATGAAGGTCAAAACTGTGCAAATACTATATCTTTTAAACCAAAGTTTCAAAAAGTGTTCCAAAATTTAATATTAATTCCTAATAGAGGGATACAACAATGAAGACATTTTCTTGATAACAGTGATTATAGTGTAAAGGAAAAATAGGTTAGAAAATGACTTTATTGAAAGTGTGCATATTTTCAGTTCAGTTAATTATTCATATTGGAAATCATTTTTTGGTTGAGATAGCAATAGTTCCTGGATGTAGAGCAGTGTAACTTTTTTTTAATTTATTTTTTTAAATTGATTATGCTGTTACAGTTGTTCTATTCCCCCCTTCATTCCCGTCCACCCTGCCCCCCCATCCCCACCATTACCCCCCTTTAGTTTATGTCCATGTGTCTCAAGTCCCTTAGGTTCTATATTTCCCATGCTATTCTTGCCCCCCCCATCTATTTTCTATCTACTGTCTATGCTACTTATTTTCTGTACCTTCTCCCCCCATCTCCTCCTCCCACTCCCCTGTTGCTAACCCTCCTTGAGATCTTCATTTCTATGTTTCCACTCCTGATCTAGCTGTCCTTTTAGTTTGCTTTCGTTTTAGGTGTGGTTGTTAATAACTGTGAGCTTGTTGTTCTTTCACTGTTCATGTTTCTTTAACTTCTTTTTCTTAGATAAGTCCCTTTAACATTTCATATAATAAGGGCTTGGTGATGATGAACTCCTTGAATTTGATCTTATCTGAGAAGCACCTTATCTGTCCTTCCATTCTAAATGAAAGTTTTGCTGGATAGAGCAATCTTGGTTGTAGGTCTTTAGATTTCATGACTTGGAATATTTCTTTCCAGCCCCTTCTTGCCTGTAAGGTCTCTTTTGAGAAATCTGCTGACAGTCTGATGGGGACTCCTTTGTAGGTGATTGTCCCCTTAGCTCTTGCTGCTTCTAGGATTCTCTCCTTCATTTTAATTTTGGCTAATGTAATTATGATATGCCTAGGTGTGTTTCTTCTTGAGTCCAACTTTTTTGGTACTCTCTGAGCTTCTTGGATTTCCTGGAAGTCTATTTCCTTTGCCAGATTGGGGAAATTTTCTTTTATTATTTGTTCAAATAATTTTTCCTCTGGTGGTTGTGTCTTTCCCCCTTCTGGTACCCCTATAATTCGGATATTGGAGCGTTTAAAGATGTCCTGGAGGTTCCTAAGACTCTCCTCATTTCTTTGAATTCTTGCTCCTTGACTCTTTTCTGTTTGGCCATTATTTGCTTTCTTCTGGTCCACTCCATTGATTTGAGTCCCAGTTTCCTTTTCATCTCTATGGGTTTCCTGTGGAATTCCATTCATTTCCCTTAGTTTAGCCTTCATATGTTTCTCTAATTTGTGGCTATAATCAACCAGATCTGTGAGGATCCTGATGACCAGTGTTTTAAACTGTGCGTCTGAGAGTTTTGCTATTTCTTCGTCGCTTAGATTTATCTCTGGGGCTTTGAGGTCTTCCTGCGACATTTTTGGTCTGTTCTGGCCCTTTAAATGTGAGAAGCAGCGCCTTGGACTCCCAGGTCGCTGGGTTGTGACGCTGTATGTGGGGGCGTGGTCAGAGCAGGGAAATGGCGGCGCCCTCTACTGCCGCCTGCCACGGGGACCGCCGGCCCGGTCCAACCGCCCACTCCCTCGCCTGTCCGCTCGCCCGCAGATAGGCAACCGCAGTCAACACGCAGCACCGCCTCCCCACTGTCTCCTCAGCAGTCACTCACCCGGTGGGTTGTTCGGTCGCTCACTAGGTCCAATCCTGCGTTTGGAACCCGTGCGTCTGGATTCGCGCGTCTGGATTCCGTGCCCGGGTCCGTCAGACAGGAGTCCTCCTGTGCAACCCCTCACGAGACGCCGGTTTCGCCCCTTACCAGTCGGGCTGAAGAATTTGTTG